ACTAAGGAGACTAAAAACAAGAGGACCAGTACAAGTCTGAGCAGCCGTGTACTGAGACCCTGTACCAAAAAAAAAAAAAAAGATGTTTTAGAAGGGGGAGACACTGATAGAAATGTTTATTTTATTGAGAAAAAAATAGACCTATAGGAAGTATACAATTGAAGCTATCAAACTGCTTAAAAATTAGGTGATTCAACTCTGCCTTCTCTGCCTCCTTTTTCCTTGCAGTTAGATTCTGTTGCTTCTCAGAAGACTTCTTTTCTTCGTGAAGGTTGCTGATAGCCTGCCAACCATCCCTCTGCTCTCCAAACAAGAGAGGGTCCTCTTCCTTAGCCAGCAGAAGGCCTCCCTTGATTTGAGGCTGTTGTGGTTTGTCTATCAAATGTGTCCTTCTTGTCTACCTCCTCTGGCTGCATTGAGGAGACTGAGGACTCCTTCACGCTTGTCTTTAGGCTGTAGGCCTTTTCACTTTCCATCTGCTAAGCTGAGGGGGAAGAGTTCTGTAAATGTAATGCCCCTGCTCTACTCATTTTTGGAATCAATTTTTTTACTAGAAGGAGGCCAGTTATAAATGTCCAGTTTCAAAATGTATTAACACTAAGACACAGACATCCTAATTAAATAAAACAAAAAACTTTTGTTTCTGACAAAACAAAATAATGATTAGCCCTTTTCTTCATTCCTCCATCTCTCTCTGTGCTCCTTGGCATCTTCCCTAGGTCTCCTCTCTGAGTCCTTTCCTTGCTGTCATCCTTCTCCCCCTACTGGTCAATGGCAGACACCCACGTGCCAGCCCTGCTTCCCAGAAGGAGGGGATGCCCCTTGCTGTCAACCTAGAACTCCAAAGTCCTGTCCCCTCCCCTCCTGGGGAGCATCCCTGTGCTCAATTTGGCCCATTCATGTTCCTTAAGCGTCAGAGACATCTCTAGGACCTGGATGATGTCTTTATTTTGCAATGGCTTGCACCTGAGTAGGTCCTGATGTCTATCACGTTCTCCATGATGGACATGTACAGGATGTGGAGGGGAGTTGCTGCCCAGCTGGAAACCTTCCTGAGTGGAGTGAGGTTACCCAACAAGGTCAGGGTCTTCGCTGTGTTTCTGAATTTGTTCATTATGTTGCTGATTTTCTTCTTCACCTACCTGAATTTCATCCTTGTCTTTCTGATTTTCCTTATTCTCATTTTCATGTCCTTGGGATTCATGGAAGACTAAGTCACCATGTTTGTTGTATTTCTGAATTTGTTCATTGGGTTCCTGAATTTATTTACTTTTCTGAATCCCTTCTTTGTGCTGGTTTTCATTGCCCTCTTTATTTTCTTAATCATCTTCCTGATTTCCTAGAAATGGCTCAAAGGGGTGAATGCTGCTGGAATTATGGATGTGAGTGCTACACCCACCGATAGCCTGAATACAACTTAAGGAAGGGAGAGGGGCTTGCTGCCCCTGCCACTGCCACTGCTCTTCCCTTTTTTGCTCTTGCTGTTTTCTGCCACCATGAACAGCTGCCCTCTGCCATGTGCCACTCTGCCTTGGAGCCAGCTGGTTATGGACTGAAACCTCCACAAACCATGAGCTAAATAAACTTTTCCTTCCTTAATTTTGGGTGTTGGGTATTTTGTTCAAGCAATGAGAGAAAAGTAACTGAGACATGTCACCTTTGAAGTCCCAGGTTACAGCCAGGACACTGTTCCCTGTCTCTCCTCTATATCCTTTCTTCCTCTCAATATGGTTTTTTCCTCTGCCACAGATCCACAGATCCCACATGCATTTGAGCCAACCAGTAGCATTTAGAAATTACAAGGTTATCACCAATGGGAAAAAGAATAAAACAAATGTCACACTTTCTTTTTTTCCCTGATTTTCCATTTTTTTTTTTTTTTTCTTCTCCCATACTATGGTTGGGACCCAGGGATGCTGTATCGCAGAGACTATTTTATGCTGACACAGTCTTGCTACGTAGTCAGGCCAGTCTCAAATTCACAGGCTGCTTCCTCAGTCTCCCAAATGCTGGGATTACAGGGTGCACCACCATGTCCAGCCCTCCCAGTGCTCTTCTGGTTTGTTTGTTTGTTTGTTTGTTTGTTTGTTTGTTTGAGACAAGGTCTCACAAAGATGCCAAGGCTGCCTCAAACTTTTGACCCTCTTTCCTCAGCCCTCAGAGTAGCTGGGGTTACAGACATATACCAACACACCCAGCTGATTTTCTACTTCTGAAAGCCACACTTCAAGTTAAAATTTTCTGTTCTGTAAATTTCCATTTGTCAAAAGATATCAGAAAAATTAATTATATCTCCTCAAGATAAAAGAAAACAGCTCTTCACAGAAGTCTTTTCTTTCTTTCCTTTCTTTCTTTCTTTCTTTCTTTCTTTCTTCTTTCTTAAATGTCAGTGATCACAAAAGTTTCCGGTTTCTCTTCATTACAGACCTGCATTGCTGAGTATGTCATTGCTTTGGCTTCTGTTCCCCGAGGATGCTTGGAAAGTGAAAATTCTTCTCCCCCCCCCCCCAATTGAGCGTAATTTGAAATTTCTCTGATCAATACTAAGTACTTTCACTTCCCAGGGTGTGAAGAATTCATCAGCACTGAACTTATAAAGCCATTCATCCAAAAAGTGAAACGGAAGAGACAGCAAGTCCTCCCCTTGGCTTCGCCTTCCATGTGTGGAGGGCTCCGCGGTCCGTGTGGGTCGTCTAAGCAGACATGGCCGTGGCACCCTGCTCGAACGCTTCCCCCAGAGCCTCCCCCCACGCATGCAGCTGGACATCTGCTGTGTGATCCAAATATTCATACTTCCAAATAACTGGAGGATACTTGGCCTTGATTGCTTTTTGCTCCTCAGTTAAATTGTAATGTCTAACATCATCTTCTTCCTGCACCATAATTGTTCTTTTTTTTTTTTTTT